ATCAGCCTGGTTTGGTACACATAGAGATACTCCAGGGGTAGTATAAGCTGCCACAACCACAGTTACCTTTCTTAATTCTGAGAAATTATCCAAGAGGCTGTCTTGCTGACTCAAAAACTCTCGGTTTGCTGCTGAATGACATCAGGTGGACATATCAGGCCCCTCTCCTCAGATTCCCTTCTTCCCAGGAGTTCTCCTACCCTCCTCCCCTTCTGAGTGGTGGCCAGACTTGGTGTCTTTAACAGGTCTCCTGATTTGAGGAACTTCCCATGTCAAGCAAATTATCCAAGTACCACCTAGTCAAGCTCATTGTATATTAATGCTACTTATCATCATATTGTTTTCTTTGATTATTCCAGAAATCCTGAATTTCATTATCTATCCCACAGATATTTTTTCCAAAATCTCAAAAGTGATTATTATTCACTGTTTAAGAATATGTTATAAAATCAGATTCATTTAGATTACTTTTAAGCAAGCACTATAGTCTTTATTATACATTTTTTATATTTATGAACTATCTAATTGTATTTTACTCCCTTATGTATCCCAGGATACTTCAAAACTTACTGACTTAAGATTGTTTTCTTCTTCTAAAATTATTGAAGACTCACAAAAATTTTTATTTATGTGGGCCCTACCTATTTATATGCACCATAGTAAGCATTAAAATTAATAATTTTTAAATATATCTTAGAATCTTATTTAAAATTTTTAAGTGTTAATTTAGTAATTTGTCAAAAAATAAAAATATGGGGTGGCACCTGAGTCTCAAAGGAGTAGGGCACCAGACCCATATGCCAGAGGTGGTGGGTTCAAACCCAGCCCTGGCCAAAAACTGCAAAATAAATAAATAAATAGAAATAAAAATAAAAATATGCTAAGGTAAACAGCATATTTATAAAATAACTACATTTATAAATAACAAGAGTAGTGAAAGAGTGGCTTCTTTTCTTCAAGATTTGGGCAAGTTTCTTTATATGTGTAATTAATAGTAGATGGGTGGATTTGCAGACCTGTCGCTGAATTCAATCTTTTCTGCTATATATAATTTTGAACCTGAGGAAAAAACCTTTCAGATAAGGATATTATTGCACTTTTCCTCCATTAGCACAATTCAATAGCTGACTTTTGCAGGAAAAAATCCATTTGCACGGATACTTGCTTGGAAAAGTGATGGCCCCAGCAACCCTATGGAAGAGTTGTGGACCTCAAGGTTTCTTGAAATACGCTTTAAAGACCTCTGTTGTAGAGTATCATTAACCACAGAATGCAATGAGAAAGTGGCATTAAAATGACCTAATGAAGAACTAAAAGAAATTGTAGGCTCGTATTTACTTATTTACTGACATGTGAGATCATCCATATTAATTTTGGCCTTTAATTATTATCTCTTGTGGTAGAAACAAAAAGAAAGTTAATGTAGTATTTTCCATTCGGTCAGGTAATTTTTCATTTAGCTCTTCTTTAATAAAATGTTTTATTTTGATGGTATAATTCTGTAGACATCTAGCCATGGATTTGCTTTAGTGAATTAAATAAAAAAAATTTGTTTTCATTTTTATTATTATTATTTTTTATTTGTTCATTTATACTTTCCTGATTATAAAATAATCCATTGTTAGGATACTGTATAATCTTACTGAGGGCAATTTGAAATACCTAATTTAGTTTTCTTCAGTCAATATTAAATGTTCATCTATTCTTTGGTCTTTAAGTTTTACTTCTAGGTAATTAAATGAAGGATTTATTGCAGTAGCTAAATGTTGTAATCAATAGATATTTGACCATATTTGGCCAAAAGGTTTAATACAACATGTAATAAAGTATCCCTGGGTTTTGGAATAATGCACAATTTGTATGAGAGAGATGTTTTCTCTACATTGACATAAATGAATCTCTCACATATACTGTTAATTATGAAAAGACGCACAGTTGATAAAAAAAAAGGTACATTTTGTAAAAGAAAGAGGAAAACAAGGAATATGGATTAAAATTTGCATCAAGAAATGTCAGGCCTTTTGCTTTCCATGTGTACTGTTCTTCATCCATGGTTTCAACCAACTTTGGATCAAAAATACCTTCAAAAAATACAACAGCAAAAAAGAACAATGCAAAAAAACAGTTATTTACACAGCATTTACGCTGTGTAAGAGTATGCTAGAGGAGTCACTTAGTGAGCACAATGAATATACCTTATTTGAGTGATGGATACGCTTTAAAAGCTCTGACATTACCACTACACAATCTATATATGTAATAAAGTCTCACCTGCACGTTATAGATTTATTTTAATAAGTATAAAGAGAAGGCTCATAGGTTGTATACAAATACTATGTCATTTTATATAAGGGACTGGGACATTTCGGATTTTGGTATCCAAGGACTTTCCTGGAACCAGTCCCCCATGGATACCAAGAGACTGTAATTAATAAAAGTAACTAACCAGACAAGAGGTAAGGTCAGTAATTTTAAATGTCTATCTCTTTATTTTATTTTTGACATCATGAATGTGATCTTTTAAAAAGTCAATTTCAAAGTACAATATAATAATAAAGTTCATTATAAAATATTTCAGAAATAGAGAAAATCATAATTATAAAAATGCAACAAAGCATCAGTTTTGTTGAACTTAATGATTTCTCACTGGTTTTGTACTTACTGTCCAGGAAAGGCAACATTTCTTTGATTCAACTGCTGACTCTTGTCATATTAGGGCGCACCAGGAGGGAATTTAAAATATCTCTGAAAACCTCTCCCTTGAGCTTTTTAAAATCAGAATAATGAGGCAATTTGATCCTCACTATCCTGTAATCTGATAGTATCAAATAAAGCTCTTCACATCTTTCTCAAGTTGTTTTGATTTTTAAAACTCAGTATCTAACAGATGATTATAATCATGGCACTGCTATGTTATAGTCACAAATGAGGAACTAATATATTGAAAATTCCCAAGAATTTGTTACCAGACAAGTAGATAAGGAAATGTTGTATTGACAAAATTTTGTGATAAGACAGAAATAACAAATATGCTGATACTCAAAAATGGAGACAACATAACTGCATTTATTTTTAAATATATATTATTATACTTATTTAGTTTATTGTAATCAGTGAATATGACTTTTGCAAAATGAAATTGTAAAATTAATGAGATTTCTTTTTAACTATTGTACACTTTATATTTGTTAAATTTCTTTTGTATTTTGAGTTCAAAAAACTCTATCATTAATACTTTATACTGACCACCCTTATAAATGGGGAATGAAAAAGTATTGCAATCAACAATGACTATTAATGAAAATTATGAGGTGTTAGATCATATTACATATTGGAGGCAGTAGAGAAGAGCGAAAGAAACAAAATTAAAACAAAGGAGCATAGAATTCAGAAGTGATTTCAACTGATGCCTGATATAACCAGAAAGTAGGTCAAATGATCTGATCATGATGAGAGTGGTATTCTTTACAATTAATCTATCTTAATGCATATGGAGAGTCTATGTAATAATAAAATACTTTAATGTTTAGAATATGTTCTTTATTCATGATATTGTAAGCCATTAATTATAAGAAAAATTGTCAAAGATATAAATTGCTGAACAAGAATGCTTGCTTTCTTATCAAAGAACTGTTCCTAAAATTAACTGATACAATTCATTCACATAAATACCTAACTATGGAGAGAATTGCTAATAAAGAGTTCATTTTCGTTGTAATTCTAAAACAAACTAACATCTTCATTATTGTAACAAAGATTGTAATAGTTTCGTGCAACGGCATGTGTAAATAGGGAATAACATAATGCATTTTGATTAAAATGTCATTTTTCATAATTGCAATGGAGAGAAAACAGGCTACAGGAAAGTCAAGTGACAAAGTACTTAAAAGGCAGAGTTAATATCTGAGAACAGTCCATTATATCTAATGCTAGTAATTATTATTTTAATTTAGAGACAACGTGTCACATCGTGTTTCTTACATATAAATTCATAAAAGCAGGCACTTGATTTGTTGTGTTTACTAAGTGACATATCAGTTCTCATCCCCGCCATCAGTGGGGATAACAGCAGCACCAAAGCTGACCTGAATACTGTTGCAGATATAATTAATTGTAACCATGCTGTCGAACACTTGTTTAGTTATGTGGTTTAGAATGTGTTAAAAAAAATTATTGATATAATTAATTTTAGGAATATTACTTTATAATATTCAATTTAAAATCAAGAAAGTGTGTGGTGAGTCAAAATGTATGCTGTACTTTGAAATTTAGCTTCTATGGTGGATGTTAATTATTTGCTTATTGCAAACAGTGCATTCTGGTACCAGTTTCAACATGTCCAAAAAGTGCAGTATATGCAGTTTTCACAATGTAATTAGTTAGAAATTGGGGATGCTTAATTTTAAAATTGAATAGTTCATGAAAATCTATTTTCATCCTCTCTATGGCTTACAGTTTCTCTTCATAAAATGTTCTGTAGTTGTCTGAAGAAATTAAGTGTAGTTAATCAGAAAGAACATTATGGTTTGACACCTAATTTGAAAGCACTGTCTTGTAGCAGTGATTGATTGGTTATGGTATTGCCCAGACCAATAGGCAATCCAAAGAGAGAAATGAGAACCCAAATAGGAAATCCATTTATGCTCAAAGTAGATCTCACTGTAGATGTAAATCAGGGTGGTATTGTCTGTCTTTTTGTGAATAGTATTTCATAAAAGTATACATGTTGGCTAAAAGGTAGAGTTCATTAGACTATAAATAGTAATAGAGCATTATAACAAATTGATTTCATTTATATATTGGAAGGCTGATCACTGATCTTAAAGTTATTTTACTATGAAACCAAGCCAGTTCTATTAATCTCAAAGTGTAGAGGTGAGCTGTCAGCTTCCACAGCTTAACATAAACATAAAAGGTAAAAAGAAAAAAAAGAAAAGAAATTCTGAAATGATGCTAGTGAAGATGTTTTTATCTCTATTCTATGTCCATCTCTTCTTCAGTGCCGCCAGCAATCACAATGCCTCAGAAATCCTTTAATGCCACAGCAGAGCGAGGAGAAGAGATGACATTTTCCTGCAGGGCCTCGGGCTCCCCTGAACCCACCATCTCCTGGTATAGGTAGGCTATGTACCCACATCCCTGTGGCTTATGTCCATGACAAGGATTATGGAATAATATTTGGTATCTTCATAAATTTACTAAGTGGATAATATTGTTGGTAGTTTTGCTGAAATACTCATGGTCCTGTTCTATTCAGTAAAGGTGGTAATGACCTTGGAAATCAAAGCTGTGCTCTTGCCCTAATTTACTGAATCAAAGGCTGTACCCATTTACGTATAAGGGCTTGTTTCTGGCCAAAAATGGGCCCAGAGCCTTGTGTTTGAGTCAAATGTTTTATTGTTACCACAAAAAAGTATCTTGAAATGTCTTGAACTGTTGCTGGCACCACTGTTAAATGCATAAAAAATCATAATCAATTAGAATATAATTGTATATTCTACTTGTGTGCTATATCACAGAGAAAAACAATATAAGGTTAAATTTTATGAATTTACATTTTCTTTTCATAAAATTTTCTATACTTGAAGAAATTAAGTGTAGTTAATTAGAATCAACACTATGACATATAGTATGTCATTTTTAAAATAATTTACTTCATCAAAGGAGTAGAATGTGTATTCTAAATATATTCTTTCATAACTTACTATATATTTTTTAGAGTCTGTACTATTTAATGTCAATTAATTATATGTTAAATATTCCATTCTTTTAAGTTGTGGCTTCAAGTTCTTAATCAGAGACAAATTTAGAACTGGACAGTCTTGTAAATGTACATTGGTAATGGAGCTTACCAGATAAGGTTTAGCTACAAATATTTGTACAATCACTTCTTTACTTTATAAACCATGTTTCATGAGAATAATCAGGAGAAAAGAGTTAGTAACAGATACATTCATTTGTATAAAAGTGTTCATAGCAATTATAAATTTAAAAAATAATAATAATTTTAAGGAGAATAATTAAAATCCAGACTAATCTCTCATTGTTTTATCTCTAGGCACTTACTGATATTTTCTTACACTTGCCCCCCTTTGTTTATCCTGTATATTTTTTAATCATCCAGGTAACAAGAATTTTTTTTCAGACAATAGTTTTAGATGATGGGTTTACACATTAAATATTAACGTATACACGTTTCTACTGGGACAGCGCCTGTGGCTTAGTGGGTAGGGTCCCAGCTCCATATACTGAAGGTGGCAGGTTCAAACCTGGCCCCTGCCAAAATGCAACAAAAAAATAGCCAGGCACTGTGGTGGGTACCTTTAGTCCCAGCTACTTGGGAGGCTGAGGCAAGAGACTCCTAAGCCCAGGAGTTGGAGATTGCAATGAGCTTTGTGACGCCACGCCACAGCACTCTACCGAAGGCGATAGAATGAGACTGTCTTTACAAAAAAAAAAAGAGAGAGAGAGAGAAAGAAAATAAACAAATAAATATTAACATATACACCCCAGACAATCATCTTATATCTCAGAGACTATTGGTTATTGAGAGGGAATCTTTAATAGTCAATGTCAGATCTAATTGCCTCACAGAAAAGTGCTTGCATAAGAGCTTATGGCGTGAACGGCTATTATTGTACGATTTTATTCTGATGATTTTATGGAGATTTCTTTTGTTTTCTTCTTTGAGTAAGATTTAATTAACAGGTAAGGAAACTGAAGCGCAACAATAAAGTCAGTGGGATACTGAACAATGAACATGAACTTGAGATACTCATGTACCACTTTGACATACAGTGGGATAAACCTTCTAAGCTGCAAGCCCAGGCCTGTCTTGCCTAATATAATTGATGATTCCACAAACCCACCATGGGATAAGACATGATAGGAAAGTCCTGGTGGATAAGCAGTGACTTGAAGTACTTCTGTTGAGCCACTTTTGAAGGAATATTATAATATGCAAGTTCTGTATAAAGGGGTTAAGATAGAAATGAGCATATTTTTATATGTTAAAATAATATTTACTTATACTCAGTAAGTTATGAGAAATACATATATCATATATATGTACATAACATGAAAGTGATGTGTTTGTTAAGTTTCAGAACACACGGCCTTGAGAATATGACTGTGAGAATTAAGAGTTCGCTATGTCTTAGATCTTCACCACAAATATTCCAGGTTTGACAGTGACTTCAATTTTCCCTCCCGTGAACTGATGTTAAGTTTCACAGATTTGTTATTAGTCCCATCTTCAAGGTGCATATTCTTTTGGTGTGGTCAGATGTAGTTCTCTACACCACCCGCTCTTCCAATTAACAACTTACCAATTGCTTTTCCCAAGAGATACCATGACTCTCCTGCCGATGGGGAATGTTGGAAAAAGGTCTTGGTTTCTCAGAGAACCTTTGTTTCTGCTTAGTTCCATTATTTTTCTTAAACTATGAGGGGATAATGGGATTACACATTAAATAGTGCAACAATTTTTTATTACATTTAATTAAAAATAGTATATAAATAATATCTTGACGGGCTAATAGAACAAGAAAATTAAATCTGTTGATAGAATGTTTTTCTGTGCATATCTCCATATGGCACTAGTCTTATGTCTTGGGTAGGATAAAATTATAATTTACTTAAAACCTAAATAACTGCTGGATATATAGCCTCTGGATATAAAATATATGTTGGGGTAATAGGGGGGTATGGTTGTCAGATTAATGGAGATAAAATTAGGGTTATAGGAAACTTTTGATCTATTTATTATAGATATTTATTTAATTTTTCTTATGTTTAATTAAAGGCTAATATAATAAGACAATTCATATTCACAGGCTAATATAACAAGAAAATTCAATCTGTTGATATAAAGTTTTTCTCTCCATATCTTCATGTGGCACTAGTCTTATTTCTTGGGTAGGATAAAATTATAATTTACTTAAAACCTAAATAATTGCTGGATATATATCCTCTGGATATAAAATATAAGTTGGGGTAATGGGAGAGTGTGATTGTGACATAAAAGTAGGGTTATAGGAAGTTTTTCAATCTATTATAAATATTTTTGTGGAAAAAAAGGTTTTTAAATATTGGAGAATGTAGGGTAATGGCTTTGAGACAACGGTCCAGAGTATTGGACATAGAGATAATGTATCCAAGTGAGATGAGTACATTCATTTGCATTAGTCGGAGTGGCCTCACATAACAAAATACCACACTCCAGGTGGCTAAAACAATAGCATTTATTTTCTCACAGTTCATGAGACTACTTATCCAAGATCAAAGTGCCACAGGACAGGTTTCTGGTGAGGCCATATTTCCTGGCTTGCAGATGATCACCTTTTTATTGGTCCTCACATGGCGTGAGAGGACCAAAGATCTGTGCTGTCCCTGCCTCTCTTTTGAGAACACCTGTCTTGTCCAAGTTAGCCCTCATACTTATGTCTCAATTTAGCCTTAATTACTTCTTTAATTACCCCTTTCTTGGAATACAGTTACCTGGCTTTAAGACTTCAACATATGAATTTGGGTGGCGAGAAACATAATTTAGTTTATAATGACAGTAAAAAAGATAACTAAGGGCCAACATGAAGATATTTTCACAATGAGAATCAAGAACATTTAGTGACATGTAAATCAAAGTGGGAGGGAGGCAGGGACAAAAGTTCTTGCCTTCATTTATATTCACACACTTGTGTATTTACTGGAAGTACAATATGATTTTTATTGTTATCCCTTTGATTTGTAAATTGCATTGATTTTCAAATGTTAAAACACCTTTTTGTTCCTGTTGAAAACTTACGTTATCATGATATACAGTCATGCCCTGCATTAGGACGCTGCAGTCAGTGACAGTCCACGCTTAGGTTAGTGGCTGCATAGATTACAATGGGCCTGGAAAATTTCTGTCAACTTGTGACATGTTAGTCATCCTAACATCACAACCAGGCATGTTACTCACCAGTCTGTGATTATGCTGGCGTAAATAAACCTACTATGTCACACATACTTTTAAGTATAGGACTTAGTACTTTGTAAATGACTACATTTCTGATTTATATATTAACTGTACTGTAATCTTTAATCTTTATTTTAGAGTGATTCCTTGTTAACAGTAAAACACTCTTAACCAGGTCCTTGAGGAGATATTCCAGGAAAAAGGCATTGTTATCACAACTCCTTGGGTGTTATTGCCCCTGCAACCTTGCAGCGGGACCAGATGTGGTGGGAGAAGACAGTGATTTATTTTTTATTTTTTTATTTATTTTTCTTTTTTATTGAATGGTAACTATGTACATTAATGCACTTCTGGGGTACAGTGTGGTGTTTTCACACACAATCCAAAACACTTCCGTCAAACTGGTTAACATAGCCTTCGTGTCCTTTTCTTAGTTACTGGGTTAAAATGTTCATATTCTACTCTTAGAAAGATTCACTTGTACCCTTGTAAGATAAACCACAGAAGTGATCCCTCCAATCCCCCTCCCTCCAACCATTCCCCCCTCCTTTTTCCCTCCTCCCTCCCCATATTCTTAGGCTGTTATTAGGTTATAGCTTTCATGTAAAAGGTATAAATTAGTTTCATAATAGGGCTGTGTACATTGGAAGACAGTGATATTGATACTGCTCACCTCGTATAAGCCTGGGCTAATGTGTGTGTTTGTGTTTTAGTTTTAACAAAGAAGTTTCAAAAAAGAGTGAAAAAAATTAATAATAAACAAACTCATAATGTATAGGAAGAAAAATTTTTATAGCTGTAACATGTTTTTGTGTTTTAAGTTAAATACATGTATCATTACAAAAGAGTCAAAAAGTTTAATGAATTTAAAGTTTGTTAAGTAAAAGTATTAGTGTAAGCTAAGATTAATTGGTTCTCGAAAAAAAATTTATAAATTTAGAGTAGCCTGAGATTACAGTTCTTATAAAGTCTAGAGTAGTATACAGTAGTCTCCTAGGCTCACATTCACACAGCACTCTTTCCCTGACTCACCCAGAGCAACTTCTAGTCCTGCAAAATCTATTTATGGTAAGTGCATGTACAGTGTTCTATTATTTTCTACCACTTTTTGACTATATTTTTCTATAATTAAATATGCAAATACTGGGCGGTGCCTGTA